TAATTGGCTACAGAGTATAAATACTGGTAGTCAGGTACATGTATTTAAAGATTCCAATGAGAATTGCAATTTTGTATTTTATAAATACATTTTTTTTTAATAAAAAGTTTGTAAACTGCTATGCATACATGTACATGTACACGTGTACAATTAATTTTTTTACCAAATGCAATAAATTGCAATTAAAAAAAACACAAATTGCATAGCAGGGTTAACAAATTAAAAATGCCTGTTATTTTGTCATAAGGCCAAATAAATTTTTTTAAAAACGTGTTTAGCGTCCCCGCCCGCTTCCTTTTTGGAGGCCACCTCCTTTTTTTCTTGTTTTTTAACTGCCTAAAAAAAAACCCAAATCATAAATTTTAAACATTGATATCATTTTGGCCTCTTCGTCTGTTGCAATCTAGCCCATATAAAGCTGGTATGTCATTCCCTGAGTCCAAGTGGCGGCCATTTAAAAAAAAAACCTGGCGGCCATCTTGAAAAATAGCCGGGTCGGGCGGCCGTTTGGAAGGGGAAAAAACGGCCTCCTTCCTTTTTTCAAAAAAGCAGGATGCTAAACATGTTATTTTTTATTTGGCCTAATGCGATTTGAGGGAAATCTCTCTTGCAGGCTGACTGGATTCGTAAAAAAATTTATTGGGGAGAAATAGTCCGGAAAGAATCAAACGTGTGTTGTGATGAAATGTCCTGGCATCCAGAAACCTGCAGTTGTGATATTAATATGTCACATTACACCGACCTTAAACATCGATTTGGCATTGATACCAGAGTTGGCCTGTCCATGCCCATCCGGTAATGAAATATGGAGACTTAATTCTGTCACGCTATTATGTCAATATTATGCCAACTCAAATATATAAATATCCAATCTCATCTACACTGGAATCGACGGTGCGGCGTGTGTGCTCAGCAAACAAGGCCACCCATGCTCTTTAATTGGCTCGTCTATTGTCCCGCCATGAGTACAATCCAATATTATCGTTCCATCATGGGTAATATCATTAATTGGTTTTTTAATGTTTTGCTTTGTTTTCTTTTTTGGAAGACGTTTGCCAGACATGCATAATTTACATTGCATTTAGCTATTTACAACATACGAGTAAAATACTCTAGGTTCGAAATTCCCATTTGACAAACATGACAAAGGTGAATTATTATCTTCATGAATACATGTTTATATTTGTTTCCCACTAAACCTTTTAGATAGATAACCATAAAAGAAAATGGTTTGGTCCATTACTTTGTTTGAACCATTTTAATCCGAATGAGTCTTTCTAAATACTTCTGGTCTTGTCAATTTTTAAAGGTAAAGTAAATCATTTGTCATTTGTGCATTTTTTTTCGTTTGAAGCAACAAAAGTGCTCAAAATCTAAAGAAGGGAGCTTAACAACTAACCTGATGAAGTTTTAGCTCAGTGGCTGCTCTATATTCCGAGAAAATGATATTGTAGGATCTCGATTTCAATTCAAAAGTTGCCGAGTCATGTTTTGAATTGCGCCCATAATCAGCGTCCGAGACACGTTCTCATACAGCCGACTGCAGCTACGTGATGTCACACACTGAACCGACGCATCCATCCATGCGCGCACCCATTCACGGCTTCGCCAAATTAAAAACGAATTACTAACGGAAATTTCCTGAATTGCGTCTCTAGACCAACTTTGGAAATGACATTCTTTTATTGTTTTCTTCAAAATGACAGCATGCCTGAAAGAATAATTTCACAGGGAGTTTAGTCCCATTACCACCTTTAAACCAAGTATGCTTTTCAACAATAATTTTGTCAGTTGCTTTTTGGAAGGCTTCAAATGATATACTCTACCTTTAAGCTACTACTGGTATCCTTGTAATCTGGCAGATTTTTCCCCTCAAATTTGAGCTTTGGCCTGTCTTATTGCATAACCACGAAGCAAGTAGGGAACACTTGTTTGTCCAGTGCAGGGTATCATTGTCTAATGGCCTGCCTGGACGTGGGTTTCGCTAGATATGTATTTTTTTGTTGTGACCCATCATTAGAGTGGCCACACATTTATCACCGGAAAAGTGATCCGTTTGCAGTGTTTGCCAGTGATCCGTGGTCTAGTCTGTCAGGTCATACTAATACATGTTGAGCGTTCTCCAATTTATAGTTCATTGCATACGACGTGTACGTGTACGGTGCCGCGCATCACTACATCCCCGAGTCAAGTCCCAAGCAGAATCGGTCAATCGTGGTGCATTTAAGAGTTCAAACTCCACTAGCTTGCCCACCTCGAGTATTTTGTTAGTCACGGTGGCTGATAAATTTTGTAGCCTTTTTGTTTGTTTGGAAGATTCAAGTTGCAAAGGCTAGCTGCATGTACCGGTACATGTACACGTAACAGTATTTCATTGGCAATATCTGCACACAAGGATTGGACATGTTATCAATAGAAAAAGTACATCTAGATGTATGCAACATTCCATGCATACAAGATAAAATATAGACACAGAATCATTTTTGAGCTGTCATATTAAGCAGATAGTGAAATTCCTTCACTTAGAATGCATATTTAACAAAAATTCTACACATCCATTTTTTTGTTGACAAAAACGGTAAACAGTCTGAAAGTGCTTTTCGACTGTGATCTCATCCTCTGTGTATACATACATGTTTATATGCACCTTATTTCAAAATTTGCCTTTTCTATTTTAGTAGATTTTCAGTATTTTTAATTGTTCAATGCATAAATGTATATTGCATGTACAAAATGTACATGTACATGGTACATACATGTACATGTACATGTATGTGTGTACATTGTTTTAATGAAACAGACATGTAGCATTAGAGTTGAACAAGGTAAACAATTTTTCTCAGAGCCGCCGCTTATTTCAACGGTTGTCTTAATGAAGACAAAAAAAATGCTCTCCCTCCTCCGCAATGCCACATGGCATTCAGAGGAGATGGCAGATATGAAGGGGGGGGGGGAAGGTGCAGTGTTTGCGGTTGCTTAGCGACGGTTGCGTGAGCGGCATCGTCGTTAGCAGCGCGCCTCTCTATCCCTACCGTCATCAATCAGGGGTGATAATTGTCATTATCGGGCCCGGGGATTGTCGCCATCTGCCCTGGCTCGCAGGAACGATCATTTCATTGGCTTCGAAAATTCTCTGGACGACGGAAAACAAAAACGTTAAAAAAAAAGAAGAAGAAGAAGAAGAAGAAGAAGAGGCTGTGGTGTGAGATGAAATAATAATAAATTGGCACTCTTTAGCGGGGTTTGCAGGGGAACTTAATTTGTTCCCGTGCACCGTGGTTCTTCAGCTGTGCGTGTGCACTGTAGCACTGTAGCTCGGTGGTTGGGGGTCGGGAGAGAACCTGCATCCTCTCATGAAGGTGTTACTTGTTATCTTAAAGTGCACATTGGAGTATACACGTACGCCGGAGAAGAAAAAGCAGGTGTCTCGCCAATTGGAGATTATCAGTGTGGAGCAATAAGGAGTTCATTGAAGCGTGGGAAGGAAATCAGGAGATACAAGTGTGGAATATTAAATGTTCACTTGGCACGTACATGTACGTACGTACAAGTACAGGTACCGGTACACGACGCCTACATACGGTAATTGTTAGTGGACTGTCTCACTCAGCAAGTTGCCACAACACATACCGGTACAGATACATACATGTATGTAAATACAGTTGTGCACATTATTGTGATCGACATTCATGTACATACACCTTGACATAATGTTTGATATGCTGTTGGAAGTACATGTACATGTAGCTATAGAACATTACCTCGGCAAGCCAGGGCATGTCTGCAATTGCACCATAGTCACTAATCTAATATAGCAGTTTTTAAAAATAAAAATATTCCATTCCTAAGGAATTTTTTTTATATTTTTATTTAGGTTTTTTTTTTTGAAATGGCAAACTCCAAAATGTCCTGTGACGTGGTTTTCAACCATTTCTGAGAGTAAATCCAATTACTGGGGGAAGGAAAGAGTCGTTGATGTCTTCCGGAAAGCCCATTCTTTGTGACGAGAAAATATTCTACGGTACATCCTATAATGCAATGAAAGTCTGTTATCTCGTGCATTGAATGCTGCTTTTTTTTATCCCACCTGCTCCGAAGAAAAAGCTGGCATTACGGAGAATAACAAAAAAGGATGCAGCGGATCAATCAGGTGTGATGGGAGGCACACAACGCCAAGGTCAAATATTTCTTGTTGCTATGACGACAAGATGTTGCTATGACGATGTAATATCTTCATGATGGAGATTTGTGAAATACATCTATGTACAGTGCCACACATGCATTTGTGCAGTTTTCTTTTACATGTTAATGTGATTTGAGATTTAAAAGCCGTGACTTTTCACAAACAAAATGTGTATTGCCCAAGCTGTTTTAATTGGTTTGTATTTTTCAAAATTCATTTTACAACCTTTGTGTTTTCACACATGTCTGCGGTTGATTTTAATAAAACTCAGTGCTCAAATTTGCTCAAACACATGATGTCAAACGAGTACATATACTGTACATACGTATGTTGTTCAAGTGTGTGTACTTCATGCTCACATGTACATATGTACACATGTAGATGTATATTTTTATGTAACAACTCAACAATGTACATGTATGTGTACATGTAGCAACTCTTTCTGTTGCTGAATTGTTAATTTGTTTACTTCGGAGAATGGTTGCTCTTTCCATACAGAGTTTTTGTTAGATTCCTACTGATTGTCAGTGGTAAAATGTAAATCCCACTTCTTTTTCCTAGCATTTTAGAACTCCAGCTGAATTTTTGTCGTCTGAAGAATTTACATGCAGATGTAAACGTGAAGGAAACGCAAATGAATATCACAAAACATTTGAGATGTTTTTAACTTGGTTAAATCTCAGCACAAATGTTTGCCGCGACATCACACATTCGCTGCTACATTCACGTCCCTGCCAGTGTATCAACCGTTCTTAAACCTGTTTGCACGACACACAACTCTTCAACCTTTTCCCTTTTTAAATTCTTCTCCTTGCAGAAAGCAATATATCTACCATTTGTCCTGCCTTGATACCCACACGCCATGATGGAGACACACGTGCCGCACGTACCCCTGGCACAGCACGGTGACACGCCAGACCCAGACGCCATCAAGATGTTCGTGGGTCAGATCCCCCGCACCATGAAAGAGGACGAACTGAAGGAATTCTTTGAGAAGTTTGGCGAGGTCTACGAGTTGAACATCTTACGAGACAGAAACAAGGAGAACGAGAGCAAAGGTAGGCTTTGTCATTTTTTGCTGGTCTGAGTAAGCCAGCGTAGTGTCCTGTTTGTACCTATCTCACTGACTGGCTGAAGTCCCCCCACTTTTTAAAGTGAGGGGGATATCATATAGTTTGTTCCCCTCCCCCCTTTTTTTCATCCCCGAATAAAATATTGTAGCCTACATTTTGATTCTATAGCTCAGAATAGCTGATTCAATGACTTGAATTTTGAAAATAATGTTTAACCCTAACCATCCCAAATCCTACAAAATCCTTTTTGCAAATGGGAGGAATTTGCAGGATTGAGGTTACATGGCAAAAGTGCATTGCTGATTTCGGAGGACGCACAGTGTCAAGGTCTTGGGCCGGACCTTGTGTTTTTTATGCTCAGCCTACTGGTAGCATAAATTTAGTCCTTGATTATACTTGAAATCCTCCGCACTGCTCCAGGATGTCACTGCCTCTGCCTGAGCCTATTGACATTCATAGCCGGAGGATTTTGCAGGATTCAGGCAGTGGTCACCCCTCCATGGACCATATTCAAGAACTAATGGAGGAATTTGCAGGATTGAGGCTATATGCAATTTTTCCATGAGGCCAATTGGAGGACTTTGCAGGATTGAGGCTACATCCTAGCAAAAAGGCCTAGGGACTTAGGGTGAAATGATGATCTCTTGCTCAAGAATTTTGTTAAAGTGGTCAGAAATTGCCTGAGATCGTACCACAGAGCGTCTTGAATCCAAACATTTTTGGGGTTCTTAAGCGGGCCCCAAACCCCACGCTGTCAGCGCTTCCCGCTCCGCACTCGTATAATTTCTGATCAAGGTATACCCCTCCCCCCCCCCCCACACTTTTGAGCATAAATTTATACTTGGTTATACTTAAAATCCTCCGCACTGCTCCAGGATGTCACTGCCTCTGCCTCAGCCTATTGACATTCATAGCCGGAAGATTTTGCGGGATTCAGGCAGTGGTCACCTCTCCATGGACCATATTCAAGAACTAATGGAGGAATTTGCAGGATTGAGGCTATATGCAATTTTTCCATGAGGCCAATTGGAGGACTTTGCAGGATTGAGGCTACATCCTAGCAAAAAGGCCTAGGGAGTTAGGGTTAAATGATGATCTCTTGCCCAAGAATTTTGTTAAAGTGGTCAGAAATTGCCTGAGATCGTACCACAGAGGGTCTTGAATCCAGACATTTTCCGGGCTTTTAAGCGGGCCCCAAACCCCACGTGTTACCGCTTCCCACTCCGCACTCGTATAATTTTTGATCAAGCTATACCCCACCCCACCCCCACACTTTTGAGAAGCAATGGTAGGCAATGAGTACCAAGTCCATCAAAATCCACCTATAGTAGTGGTGGTCTTGTGGTGGATTTCAGCAGATTTGGTCCTAAAGCATTATGTGAAGCAGGGTCAGTGATGGATTTTGGCGTACTTGGTCCAGCACTTAGTAAAAGTTAGGGAGTCAGGGATTAAAGAGTCATTTGAATGCAGAGATGGATGGTCAGTTGTATTCATTGCCTGATCTGCCTTAAGTGTCTTTCAAGCCTTATTTGATGTAGTTTTATAAATAATTTGTTGGAAAATATGGATTGTTCCACCAGGCGTGAAAAGTGCGGCCACACTTTGTTAAATTTGCATCACCTGTCACTCATGAATTATTCATGAGATATACTTGTTCACCTCATGAAACATTCATAATTTGCAAGTCCATATTGAACAGTCGGCATTCATCAATCAATTTCTACTGAGTGCCAATGCACTTTTTTAACGTTCGCCAAATCTTAACATTCACAAAATCTTAACATTCATGCAGTCATTATTTCACTTTTTCATCACATGTGCTTAAAGGTAATATACAACATTTGCTTTTGCTGGAATTTTCTAAATTGGATGGATTTGGGAGTAGCATTTTATAGCATACAGGTACCGGTATATTGTTACACTGACCTGTTTAGAGTTTTGTGTCCATAGATACTGGAAAAACCTAGAAAAAAATGCTGTCTGGTTCCCTGACCCTGCTTCAGACAAAACAGAGCAATTTGTAGAGGTCAGGGAATTGTCAGGTCAGGCAACCAGACTAGCTGGCTTGCACCCGTTCACAGATGTGTAACTGATTGCATACAAAATGTGGACTAACTAAATTTGGTAAATCTGATGCAGTATTTGAAAAAAACGATGGTCGGATGGTGAGAAATTGATACAAAAATTCCACTTTTTTTGAAAATGACAGCACACCAGGTGCCATGATTTCACAGGATGCTTGAGACTATTTTTCACTTGCAGTCAAGTAAAGTTTTTCATAATAATCTGGTATTTTTTTTTTATGTTTGCAAATGTTGTATATTACTGGTGCCTTTAAATTAAAGGTCCAATGTACACCTTCGTAAAAGAAAAGTGCTTTTGATCATTTTCTAACATTCAAAAGCATTACGTATTGACGCAATTTCAAAGGACTGGGTAACAGAAAGTCCTCATACATGTATTCTCTTACATTTGCAAAACCCTGTTTATTTACAGCTATTTTGGGTTTTTTGCCTTGACTTCATGTATGTATTTCCCAAAATTGATAAATGAACCATTCTGATTAGAGCATTCATGAACATTAAAATAGGGTTTCCTTATTTTTGAAATAGAAACGGTTAAAAAAAATACATTCATGTGTACCATGATGAAAGATGCAAGCCTCTAAAGGTGGATACCCTTTTTTTCCTTCTTTTTTAGTTGTTACCGTAGGCGTGCTAGTCCTTCAAAACCAGTAAACTGGAAAGATCATTCATTAGAAAGTTGTTTGCCCAACACAACCCAACATTTACAGATCACTAGCTGCCTCTGTGAACAGAAATGAAAGCCGGTACACTACGTCGTCAGTTATGGTACGGTGCATGATGCAGGGGTTTCGCCGGAGAGCCAAGATTGCACAATGAAGTATCAATTTGTGCCCCATGATTTGACGGGGAGTTTAGGAAAAAAAGAAGACGAAGTAGAAGCGTCCACTCCAGTGAGACGTAATGTAGAGGATCAATTTGCCGCGGGGCGATATCTCCCCTAATGCCTCCACGTCACGAGTGGCACGACAGTACTGGCCCAATGAGGCAAGGCTGTCCAGCCAGGCAATAGGAGCTCACATGATCTGCTTGTTATCCTGTAAGCAGAGGAGTTGGAGGGGGGGGGGGGAAGAACCTTATCTCGATATAATATGTGTATTAAATTAAAACCTAATTGCCAGTTTGATGCACAAGGTCATGCACTTTTTGCTAGTCTGCATATTTTAAATTCTTGATTTGATTAGAAAAAATTCGCGTTGTGAGTGCATGCTGGGTCCAGGGATGCTTTTTTGTTAGTGATGCCAAATTTGTGTGTTCATGTAATTAGTTGTTGACTACATGTATGTACATGGGCAAAGACCTTTACATGAACTCAGTGATGTTCAAAGTAATGAACTTGTAACCATTAACAGAATGTCGATTTTTGACGTCATGGCCAGAAACCAAATATGAGTAGCAGTTTGCTGTTGTTAAAATGATGCCATCGGTACGTTAAACCCAAGATGATAATCTCCGAAATCTTCTTCAAATTGCTTCAATCAATATTCCTGTGATGAATAGTTGCAAAATAAATTTTGGGCTATTTCGTAATTGAATTATTCATCCTGTTCCGTACATTCACCCTTTCCGCCGTAGATTCTGATTTATTACCAGAAGCTTAATTGCATTTTGCATCAGCTTGTTATTTAGGTACAAGCAACAAAAAAACATCTGCATCGTATTGAACTTTAAACGATGAAAGTTCATGCAAGTACCGTAAGGTACCGTATTTCAGTTTGATGAATATCTTTTAAAACCTTTGTATGTATGACGCTCAGCCAAGAAAAAAGAAGAAGACGAATTTACCTGATTTTGGGATTTATGCCCAGATATACCAGGGGCCAATTTCATAGAGCTACTTAAGCACAAAATTAGCTTAAGCACAAAAAAACCTTGCTTAAAATAATCAGGTTACCCGCCAAAACGCCATGCGATGTACATTGTTTGTCACTGGTATTTAGTTGTTGTTTACTTAGCATAACAATCGCATGGAGTTTTGGCGGGTAACTTGATTATATTAAGCAAAGTTTGTTTGTGCTTAAGCAAATTTTGTGCTTAAGCAGCTCTATGAAATTGTCCCCATGACAGCTAAACACACTGGATGAGCTGAGTACACGTACATCGTTTCCAAAATGGTTGCTGTCAAACTGACCGAAAATATTTTAAAGAGAATCACACATTGCCATTGCAATACGCATTTTACATTGACCCAATTGGGATGTGAACCTTGGACAACTTGACCCCAATCAACCTGACCCCGACTTGACCCCAGGGTAATCCCTCTACAGACGCATCATAGTCGTTGCCTCCTGCATGACCCACCTCCCGCGACCCACTCTGTTAACGGTTACACGGGAGAAAGAAAGAAAAGTACAGCTGGTACCGATGGCCGGCCTTCACTAATTGCTGACCATATTTGGCCTGGGTTAGGTGTGGGAACGGCCTGGCATTTGGCTGGTGTTGAGAGCGGCACTATCGCGGGGCAGGAGAGGATGGCTGGCTGCAGCCCGTGTATTTGCTCACTGCCCCTGTAGTGTGCGGTATGCACACTATCTGGCTCTGCACCAGCACGGACCAGGGAAGCACAGCTGGTGACCAAACGAGGGTGTCCTTTCACCTGCTTTTACTCAAAACATGAGCCGCTACTGTATGTGTTTTGCTTTGAACTCCAGAGACCAACTATGAATTTAGCGGCAAAGTGAAAGATGATTGCAACCAACTGACACACCAATGCACCACGTACCGTAGGGTGAAAGCTTAGATTGGTTTTATGATACGGTTTTGGCTGAAAAGAACCTATAAAATGCAAGCTTTATTTTGATACATGTTAGATATTAAATAATGCCTGGGTGTTTTTTTTAGGAGATTGTTACATGTTCTTTTCAGCTTGCTTTATGCTCTTTCTAAAAAACTTGCAGATTT